CACACACACACACACACACATACACACACACACACACACACACACACAAACACACACACACACACACAAACACGCCACTACACACCACACACACAACACACAGTAAACACACACACAACACACACACACACAACAACAAACACACACACACCACACACACAAACACACACACACACACAAACAAAAAGACACACACATAATACACGCGCCTAAAAAATGCGCTTCCATCAAGATCTCCAATTACTGAGACCAGCGAAGACAAGTTCAGACATGTAAGAAAAACAGGAAACCATTCGCTCATGCAACAGGAAAAGATACAAGAAAGGAACGCTTGCAAATGGGAAAAGTTGCCAAAGGACAATGTTGCAAGAATCCCGTTCGAGAAGGAGGGAGGGAGGGGGAGGGAGGGAGGGTGTGTGGGTAGGAGGGAGGGAGTGAGGGGGAAAGAGATGGAGGAAGGGAGGAAGGCGGAGGGAGGGAGGGTGTGTGTGTGTGGGTGGGTGGGTGCGGTGGTGGTGGGTAGGAGGGAGGGAGGAGGAGGGTGGGTGGGTGGAAAGGATGGAGGGAGGGAAGGAGGAAGGGGAAGTTAAAAAGAAAGAGAGAAAGATAAAGCTAGATAGATAAATAGAGAGGGGGAAAGGAGGGAAGAAGGGAGGTAGGAGAGAGAGAGAGACAGGAAGACAGACAGACAGACAGACGACAGACATACACACACACACACACACACACACACACACACACACACACACACACACACACACACACACACACACACACACACACACACACACACACACACACACACACACACAAACAGAGACAAACGCAGATACAGACAGGCAGAGACAGAATGATAGATACATAGACAGATAGATATAGGTAGATATAAAGAAAGATAAGGATATAATGGAGAGAGAGAGAGAGACCGACAGACAGACAGAATCAGACAGATAGACAGCCAGAAAGACAGAGAAGACAGACAAGACAGAAACAGACATTATTGATAAACAAATAAAAAGACAGACGCAAATAAAAGACAGACAGACAAAAAAGAAATAAAGACAAATAATTTCCCTGGCTAGCTTTGCAACCTCCAACCTACCCTCCCCCCCTATACCTACCACCCAACCCATCCCCGTTCACCTTACCTCCCTCTCCCCCTCTCCCCCCTCCCCCTTCCTTCTACATACAGACAGCAAAGAACGTATTGGAAAGAAAAGACAAAACTTCAAACTCAAAAAGATCCTCCGACAAGATGCTCGCTTACTAAAAAAAAAAAAAAAAAAAAAAAAAAAAAAAAAAAAAAAAAAAGTTAAACTAGGAAATTAGAAGTGGTGAACTTTGTCTGCTTTACAGGATTAGGAGCACCGCAAAAGTCTCCAGCTGCTTTGCAAATGCAGCAAAGGGCACAGAGACAAAAGTTAAGCACGAAGTCCTTTTTCCCGGTTATCACATTGCAAGAATTTTCTGTCAATACCCCGCGCTTGCAATCATTGCCAGGAGCTGTATGGTTTGGTTGGGAACCGCTAGCTTAAAATACGGTGATAAAGCATGATAAGAGAGGAAGAACAAGTAGGTGGAAGGGGGGGACAGAATGGAAAGGTGGGAGGGAGGAGAGAGGGGAGGTGGAGGGAGAGAGAGAGGAGGAGAGTGAGAGAGAGAGAGAGAGAAGAGAGAGAGAGAGAGAGAGAGAGAGAGAGAGAGAGAGAGAGAGAGAGAGAGAGAGAGAGAGAGAGAGAGAGAGAGAGAGAGAGAGAGCGAAAGAGGAAAAGAAAGAAGAGAGAGAGAGCGAAGAAGAAAAAGAAAAGAGAAAGAGAAAGAGAAAATAAAATACAGAGCAAAAGAAAGAAAGAAGAAAAAAAAACAAACATACAACCCACCCACCCCCACCCCTTCCACACAAAAAAACGGAAAAAGAAAACGCAGACATCCTTCCTTTAGCCTAACACCCGTACACATTAGGAAACCGCCTCATACTCCTAATACTAATACTAATAGACGCGCTCGTATCCCCTCGGCCAGTCCCTCACCCGCGCAGATTCCCCCAGAGTGCTGAAGAAGCAATAATCACAGCGTATCACCCATTCGAGCGAAGGGGCGTGGTGATAACGCATATCTAAGGAGCAGTGACTGGATGGCAGGTTATCCCACGGCAATGTGTGCTCAGCCATTTCCTTGACCCCTCAATGGCGGGGGGGGAGGGGGGGCGTACTGTTATGGGTTTGCGCTGGAAAGGCGGGTGACGTAATGTTACGGTCTCTCGTGTGTTCTTCGTTTGTTTCTCTACGTCCTGCATCTTTCTGTCTTCTCTGTCTCTCTCATCTCTCTCATCTCTCTCTCTCTCTCTCTCTCTTCTCTCTCTCTCTCTCTCTCTCTCTCTCTCTCTCTCTCTCTCTCTCTCTCTCTCTCTCTCTCTCTTCTCTCTCTCTCTCTCTCTCTCTCTCTCTCTCTCTCCCTCCCTTCCCTCCTGCCCTCCTTCCCTTCCTGACCTCCCTCTCTCCATCCATCACTATCGCACAAAACCCCGTTTTTCCTTCCCAAAATTTAAACATCATCCTGACATCACTCTCAAAGCAACAAGTGACTTCAGTCGACTTCAGATCCCTCTGTGCTTCTGAAGGAACGATTTTTGCTTGCTTGCTTGCCTTGGGGTTCGGGGTCGAGATCTACAAGTGCTTGTGATGTCTTTAGTATCTTCTACTGATTGGATTTCTGTTTCAACTTGAAATGTAATAAAAGTGAAGAGGTGGTCGTATGTGTGTGTTTGGGAGGGAGGGTATGTGTGTGTGTGTGTGTGTGTGTGTGTGTGTGTTGTGTGTGTTGTGTGTTGTGTGTGTGTGTGTGTGTGTGTGTTGTGTGTGCCTGTGCGCGTATTCATGTGCGTGTGTATGTGTGTGTGTGCGTGCTTACATACTCGAGCTTGCGATAATGACAATATATATCCAAGCAAAATAGACGCATCTGAAGATTACAACATGGAATTGAATATAATTGCATTTCCACAAGCGTTTAACTTTCTCATCTCGCGTCGCGTGTTTTCATCTCGACAGAATTTGTCATTTCAGGGACGGTTAGCGAAAACAGGTGCCCGGAATGTGGACGCATACTTGTGCGTATGTGTGAATGTATGTGCGTGCGCTTGAGCATATGTGCAAATATATTTACATATGCGCATACATACGAACATGTGCGTTTGTTTGTGATTATACATATATATATATATATATATATATATATATATATATATATATATATATATATATATATATATATATAATAAATATATATATATATAATATATATATATATATATATATAGATAGACAGATAGATAGATAGATAGATAGGCAGATAAATAATAAATAGACATACAGATAGATGGATAAATAGGTAGGTAGGTAAGTAGACTGACAGGGTATCGGCAAACACTAACATTATCGCAATTCCAAGCATGCTATTCATATGTGTTACTTCATGTATGCACGAGCATATATACATAATGTGGATATGTAGTCTAGCCTTTGCAAGAAAAGCGCAGATTAATACAAACCAAGACTTTATTGCTAAAACATCTCGGTCTTTTACTGTTTTGAATTTTGGTCTTGCTTTTGCGGTTATTTTTAAAGGATAAGATTAATTCGTGCTCGGTGTAATTTCAGGTTCGTGAGTGGATTAATACTTATGTAAATGCATACATAAACGTGAGAGATGAATGACAACGTGGGTGTTGGAGAGAGAGAGAGAAGGAGGGAGGGAGGGAGAGAAGGAGGGGAGGAGGGAGGGAGAGGAGAGAGAGCAAGGGGAGGAGGGAGAGGGAGAGAGAGCAAGGGAGGGAGGGAGAGGGAGAGATAGCAAAGGAAGGAGGGAGAGGGAGGGAGAAGGGAAGGAAAAGAGGCGAAAAGAGCTAGAGAAAGGGAGAGAGAGAGACAGACAGACAGACAGACAGAGACAGACAGAGACAGATAGACAGACAGACAGGCAGACAGACACACAGCCACACAGACAGACAGACAGACAGATAGACAGCCAGCCACACAGACAAACAAACAAACAAACAAATAGACGAATAAACAGACAACCAAATAAATAAACAGAGAGAGAGAGAGAGGGGACGACCGACGGGAGGGGATCAAGCAGCGAATCCGCAGAGAGAAAAATGTTTTCGAATCTCAAAAAAATCGACATGAGGTCATTTCACGCAAGAGCAGCACGCCCTTCCTCTCCGGCAGCCGGCATTCCCTCCCTGCAATGCCATAGCCTTTCCTTTACCGCATGTTTTCCTCCCAAAAGAAATTTTCCCGATCCATTAATATATTAGGTTTCTGGTGCACTCTTCTTAGCTACATGTTTTTATTTCCTCTTTTCTTCTGTCTTTGCAAATGATGATATTAAGTGATATAATAGTGATAATGATGATGATATATAATAATGACAATGATAATGATGATAATAGTAATAGTATTCTGATAATATATAATGATGATAATGGTAATAGTACTATGATAATGATAATGTTAATGATAATAATAGTAATAGTAATATTGATAGTGATGATAATGATAATGATAATTATAATGACAGTAATAACAATAATAATGATAATAATAATAATGGTGATGATGATGATAATGATAATAATAATAATAATAATAATAATAATAATAATAATAATAATAATAGTAATGATAATAATAATGATGATGATGATGGTGATAACAATAAATAGATAAATGAATAAAAAAGGTACATTCCAGTATTTCATTTATTTTTCGCCTAGTACCATCCCATTTTGCAATTGAAACGGCAACAGCACGGTATATTGCAAGATTTTTGCTGCTCCCACTTAAAAAAAAAAAAAAAGTTGATCATAATCTGTCAATTTTGGTCGACACGTAAATAATTGACAATTTAAGAACTATAATCACATGGATATCATATTGTCCCCGATTTCATTATTCCTACAAAAATAATATCAATAATTAAATAAAGATAAGGAATAAATAGATAAGTAAATAAGATACAATTCTATCTGTTTGATAGACAAACAATTTCAGTTTTTGGAAATAGTTAAAAAAAAAATCTAAATCAGATTATTCCATCAAAAAGAACAAGGAGGATTTATTGCAGATAGACAGACAGAATGATAGATGTATAGATAGATAGGTGAATACATAGTAAGATCAATAGATAGACAGATAAATAAAGAGGGAGATAGCTAAAGAGATAGATAGATATACAGACATAATTTTACCGAGATATAGAGACTAATAGCCGATAGATAGCGAGACAGATAGACAAATGGGCGATAATTAGAGAGGCAGACAGATAAATAGATAGGTAGATAAATCAAAATGAAAGCAAAGCAAGATAACCATTGCATAATAAAGAAAATTAGCACAAAAAATACATATACACACACATACACACACAGACACAGATACACACACACACAAACACACACACACGCACATACATATATACATACATATACATATATACATAATATCTGAAGTACATATTCTGTTCAGTCATGTTTTTCTTTGCGCAAGTACCCGTAAATTTAAATGAATTACGGTAATCAAGATTTGAATTTAAAAATCAATATAAATAAAAACAAGATAAAATAATAATAATAATAATAATAATAGCAAAAGCAAAAAAAGAAAAATTAATATCCTACCGCTTCCACGTAATATCCTACAAAACGGGTATACGATTAAGATACATTAAGATATATATCATAATCATACTAAAACATTATGTATTCGGAAGTATCATAGAATGACGTCTTCAGCATGGTAAGGTCCCATCGATCACGAATCATCTGTTCTATGGTCAGCAGATGTAGAACCCCCCCCCCCCAAGAAAAAAAAGGTTATGTGGATACGTATAAACTACATGTATTTGTGGGGATAGTGTTAAATACACACAAATATATGCATACATATATATATATATATATATATATATATATATATATATATATATATATATATACACACACACACACACACACACACACACACACACACACACACACACACACACACACACACACACACACACACACTCACACTCACACACAGTGTGTATGTATGTGCGTGTTTGGGTTTGTGATAATGTTAGTATTAGTGTTAATGTTAGCTTTGTGTTTGTATGTGTACGCGGCAATGTCTTTGTGTGTATGTGTATGTGCGCATGCCTTATATACGCATATACGTTATAGCCTATATGTATGTATATATGTACGTATGTATAGCCTACATGCATATATGTATGTATGTGTGTATACATGTATGCATGTGCGCATATATGTATTTATGTACAGTGTTTGTGAGAGCATGCATCATGCGATCTGACGACCAGAGGAAGGTCTCCCTCGCCGGACCTACATATCAGCACACGCACAGCCGCACGCACCACGCACGCACGCACGCCCGCACACACCAACCCCGCACGCGAGAGCCAAATCTAAGCGAGGTCTTGGCCGGTCGGGTGGGGAT